CCAGCCTGCAAGGACTCTGGGGCCCAACTAGAAAGAGGATGAGAGAACGTGCTGAGGAGGAAACTTCAGGCCAAGCGCCAACTGCTTCTGGGAGGCAAGGGGCAGTGGGGACAGGAGGGGTGGGCTGCTATGGCATCTGCCGAATGGGGCAGAAGCACCCCCCAGGCATATGCTCTGCACAGTCAGCCCTTTGCTTGGCAAGGGACCACCTTGACTCCCAGAGGCTTCAGGATAGGAGCGAGCAGGCGGGTCTTTAGCTAGAGCTGTGAGCTCCACTAGACCAGGGCTAGAACGGCCCTCTGCGTTTACACCCCTCCCAGGGGACTGTGCAGAGACTCTGCACGGCTGGCCCCAAGGTTCCACCCCCCCCCCATCCCAGGGGCCTGCACGGGCACTCTCAGGGCTGGTCCCCAGGGTTATGCCGAGACCTTAGGAGACTACATGGGCATCCCTGCTCAGGCAGACAGTAGGCTTGGTTTGAAGGCTTTTCCAAATGTTCCCCAAACCTCCATCCTCTCACACATCCCAGTCCAGCTGCAACCTTATCCCTGGACAGCTTAGAGTCAAATCACTGGCACTTACACAGGCACACGGCTCCCACCTTCCAGTTCAAAGCCTGGGACCCACACCCACATATCCAGAGGCAAAGACTCCTCACACATACACACAGACGCCCACACCCAAGTGCCAAGCCACTGCCAGGAGGGGCCAAGCGGGCATGGGTCCAGCAGGCCCCTCCCTAGAGGAAGCATCTTGTGGTGCCGGCCTGGTGGGGAGGCTGTGCCAGGAAGGCCTGATGCTGCCAACAGGTTCCTGGGAGGGAGGGAAGGAGTGGCCCGGCTCTGGGGGACGCCACCCCCAGCCGAGAGCCAAAAAGGTCCCCGCTGAGAAGGTGGGAGGGCTAGGGAGTCCTCAAGCCCTGTGAGCCTGAGTAACATTCCTTCATCCTCACGGGCTGAGGATAAACCAAAGCTTGGGGGGAGGAGAGGTACGGGGGAGCCAGAAGCCAAGGCCCCCAACATCCCAGCTGCCGGCCTCTGCCTACCTCCACCACAACTGCATCAAGCCTCCTCCCCAGGTGTGTGATTCCCAGGGCACTCCTGACCGGGCACCGGCAGAAATCACTGCACTGGACCCTCTGACCCTAAGAACCCAGCCAGAGGAGTGGGGGTAGCCTTTATTCTTATGGACACTCGGGCCGTGGGTTCCTCCCTTGTCCAGACCCGGGGAGCAGACAGCCTGGAGGCAGGTCACTGACCCACTTCCTCCCCTCTGACCATGGTGCCAACTAGGCCAGGATCCTCTAGTAATCCACAGCCCCCAGCAGCTGATGTCGACCCTGCCTGAGGCCAAAGGGACTCGAAGAGATGCAGCAGAGTGCAGCTGGAGGGCATGGTGGGAGGGCAGGTTTTGGCCCAGGGAGAGCAGGGAAGCCCATCCCGGTAAGCACACCTCCTCTGACTGCACACATCCTCAACAAAGACCTCCAGGAAGATCCAAGCAGGACCCCATCTGGGTGAGACTTGGAGCCAGACGCTCAGCCCCAGAAACAAGGATGCCCAATGGCAGAGGGCAGGCGGGGACACCGAGGCACTTACCTGCCACAGGGAGGCCATGTAGAGGGGTCCGAGGCAGGATTTCCAAGGATGGTTCCCGGCCTGGCATCCCATCTGCTGAGAAACAGGATTCCGTCTCATAGATGGTCTGCAGCATCTCCACAAGCCCCTGAGCCTTGGGCACCAGCAGCATGCCCGGCAGGGGGCCGCCTGAGGCGGGAGCCGGCCAAAGGGAAGGTGGCTGGGCGGGGCCCTCGCTGCTCAGGGGCTCCCTCAGGCCACTGCTGCTGGGACCCGCGCTGCGGGGAGGTGCCTCATCCGGCCTGGGCACTGCAGGCGGCAGGAAGAGCCAGGAGCCCCGGAGCCACAGGCCCAGCTCCCTGCTAGAGGGGCATCCAACCACTGGCCCTTCCAGAGCTCCCAGAAGCGGGTATGGCTGAGCACTCAGGGGACAGGAAGGGGAGCTGAGCAGGCAGGCGGGCTCTCTGCGTTCCCTCCCAGCCCTGGGTGACAGCTCTGGGCCTGGCTCCCTGCTCCTCCTTCCCGAATGAGCCGCCGGCAGCTGGCAGGAGACTGAAATAGCAGTTGGGGGAGGGCCCTGTCTATAAATAGGTGGAGCATGCTCAGGGAGCCGCCGGCCGGCTGCCAGGAGCCCGGGCCTGGCAGAGGCCCCGAGTGGGGGAGGGGGAGGCGCGTTCCACCCCAGGAGGAAGCGCCAGGCAGGGGGATGGGGACAGGGGAGGGCCTGCATTCAGGGCCAACGCCACAGAGCCGGGTGGCCAGAGCCTGCGCTGGGGAAGGGCACACGCTGGAATACCCACGCATCTGGGAGCAGCTCTGGCGCTGCTCTTGGCAGGCGAGGGGCTAGAGACCAAAAAGCCAGATTTCCTCCTCTATCTGCCCTCTTGCCATCCAGAGCAAGTAAAGGAGCTGGAAGGGTCTGGGAGAGGGTGGCAGACAGGGCCACCTGGCCTAAACTTGCATCTTCCCTGGAGTCCCTCTAACAGCCGATGGATGGGAGTTGATTTAATTTCTGCCCTCTTTCCGAGCTGGGGGGTGGCTCCCCCACCCCCTCAACCAGCAGGGAGACCCCCGAGCAGCAGCTAAAGGGCAGCTCCCTCCTACCCATTAGGGGTGTCACCTCCAGAGGCTGCTCGGCTTCCTTCCAGGGGGCAGGGAGACTCTTCCTGGACGGGCCTCACCCCACCCAGGGAAGGGCACCTGGGAGCACCTGCCCGTTCTCAGAGCACAGGTAGCTCTTCCTGTGGCAGTGTGCCAGGTGTAATGCTAAGAGCAGCACATACATCACCTCGTTTATTCTGCACGATGACCTCAGAAGAGAGGTGCAGACGGGGAAACCGAGGCACAGAGAGATGAAGTCGCTCACCCTAGGTCATACAGCTGTTTCAGTGGTAGGTCTGGGATGTCTGAAGTTCAAGTCTGAGCTCTAACCACCACAGCCCACTGCCTCCTGCACAGGGAGCACACGAAGCTGCCCCAGGGTTTCCATTAACAGGTATAATGACCCCCAGTTCCCAGGCAGGAAGAGACTTGAGGTTGGAGCCCCTTCAGGAAGAGTCAAGGGGCTGCCAGCATCCAGCCCTTCCCCACCAGCCAGCAGCCCCAGGCCTGGCAGAGCAGCCCCGGCTCCTGGGGCCCTGCTGGCACCTAAGGCTAGAGCGCCATGAGGACTGGTGACACCCGCCTACCCAGCCCACTGCTGGCCCATCCCTCCTCCTGAGGTTGTGCCTCCCACTTGGCCCCCTGACCTCACTGGAGCCTTTTAATAGCCTGGTTATTCCTGGGTCTGTGTCCCCCTCCCCCTTCCTGACGTCACAGTGGCTATTTTGGAGCCCCCTCCTGGCCCCCTTTGCCCCCAACTCTAGGCATGGAGCCAGGGACACCTGTCCTCTCCCTGGACTGGATGACCTCACCCTCCTGTCGGGAGCCCAGGAGGAGCTGGCCAACCAAGGTCACAGTAGCTGTGGCTCCCGCCAGCTGGGGATGGCAAAGGGGCCTCCTGCCCTCAGGTGGGGGGATCACGTGGATGGGTAAGGGGCAGAGGTGGGCTTTCCCAGGCCCTAGACTGGCTGGCAAGATGTATGTTGAGGGAGTTGGAGGTCAACAGGAACGAAAACAAAGCTCTGGAGCCTCAGCTTCTCAGCCAGGGCAGACTCCAGAAAACTGGTGATGGAGCAATGCTCCCCACAGGGCTCTGGAGTCGGTGGACATTTCAGGGTAGGTCTGGGGACTTTGCTCAGCACCCCTTGCCCTAATCTCATCCTAGCCAACCAGGCTCTCTCAAGAGCAAGGGAAGGGAAGGTCAAGGTCTCCTTAACAGGTGACAGGCAGCAGACTCAACGGAACCCAGAAAGCTGGGGGCAGCAGCCCCTCCCAGCCAGGACTCCACCCACCCACGCTGAAAGCAACCAGAAGGGCTGGCTAGCCCTGTCCTGACTCTCTCTGCCTGCCCCAGGCACAGGAGAGTATGGTAGGGCAGCCCTGTTCTGGAAGAGAGGAAATCATCAGTTACAGTGACTCAAAAGCAGGGGCGCCAGAACGTGGAGCAGTCAGAAACCTAAGGAAACACAACTCCCTGTTTAGGAAAGCTGGGAGCACCCAGGAGACTGGGCACCCAGAGGTGGCCAGAGCTGGGGACTCGGGGCAGTTCCCAGCACTACTATGACTTCCAGTAACAGCTTGAAGTGGGAAGTGAAGTGTCAGACACAGCCAGACAATCCTCAGTGTAGTTCCCAGAATCCTCCAGGGGAAGAAGACAGGAGGCCTGGGATGGGGACAAGTGTCTTTTTTTTTCTTCGGAGATTCAAGTCATGCAACAAAGTCTTCCTAATGTCTAACCGCAATCCTTCTCGCTTCATAGCCCCTCTCCTTCTGGTTCACGTCTCTTCTCCATCCCCACGCATCTAGCTCTCCCATGTGTCATCCCACAAACCTTACAGAGCACCTGCAAAGCGCGGGTTACAGGAGCCTCAGTAGGAACAGGCACCGACCCCTCCCTGGTGCCGCGATGACCTTGCTCACTCTGCTCCCGCCCCTGAAGGCTGGGCTCAGGCCTCCTAACCCTCTAAACCTGGAGGAGGAGAACCTAATGTGGCTCCTTCAGCTCTCGAAGGCTCCCACTTCCTGGGCTCAAGAGGCTGGAGTGGGGGCCTGACCGAAAAGAAGAAAGCAAAGTCTGCTCTGTGCACAGTAGAAAAGCCAAGGGCTGGTCGGGGAGCACCTCAGATGGAGTGTGGGTGCCAGCTGCCCTGGGGTCCTGGAGATACAGGGCCTGCCTGCCCTCCGGTTCTCTCCTGCCCTCGCAGCCCAGTCATGCTGGAGCCCGTCAGCATCGCCCAGGAGCTGCCATGCGCCAGGTCCCATGCTAGGTGCTGGCTGAACCCTCTCATTTGAGACCAAGTCTGGGAAAAATGTGAACACCTACTTTGGCATCTTGCACATCCCCTCAGGGTTGACCCTGCCTCCTCCGGACGTCCCATGCTAAGCCTTCAATCCCTCTGGAATGATGGGACAGGGGAGGGGAGAGTGGGGCAGATCCTGATCTACAGTGAGCACAGAGGTGTGCCAGGGGGGCATCTAAGTGGAGAAGGGACACCAGAGTCCACTTCCCAGACCCCCCGCCCCACGCTGACTCTGACCCACTTTCTCCGCCTTCCCTGGGGGCTCAGAGGCAGAGCCCAAGGCTGGGAGGCGGGACGCCGAGGTTCCTGGCTCCACCCCACGCCTATGCCCCAGTTTCTCTGGTCACCCAGAAAGGAGGGGGCAGCCAGGAAAGGGAAGGAGAGAAAGTGTGCAGCGAGCTGGGAGGTGCTGGGCAAGCAGGTGTTGTCATGAAGCTTCTCTCCCTCCCAAGCTGGGGCTAAGGAACCTGGCCACCTTCTCTCCTGGGGCCCTGTCGCCCCACAGACTGGCTCGAGCCTCACCCTTGCCCTCTCCTCTGGGCAACAGCATGGAGGACAGGGCGGGGACCAGAGTGGGCCCAGGCTGGCCAGGGGCACAGTCTGTCAGTCCTTCAGTCCCACTAAGGGGAGCAGAAATGAAAATAAAGCCTCGCTCCTCAAGTCCCCTGTTGCCTGAAGAGAAGCCAGCCCCCGGTAGTGGCCTCCGCAGGGAAGCGGGCAGCCCATCAGCGGCTCTGCCTGTACTCCCGAGACTGCAGGAGAGGCAAATCAGGTCAAACGCTGGCCCTCGGCCCGGCCCAGAGGTAACTGGATCAGCTCCCACTCCCCGGGGAGCACGGGCGAGCCCCAGAAGTAAATCTCTCCAAATCTCTACCTGCCACCCCTCACCCGGAATGTGCTCTCTTACTAACTTGTTTGCTATGAAGGCCGGGATGGACCATCTTCTATTTTTCTTTTCCAAACAGGGAAGTTCCTGCACTGAGAGAAATGGAGGGAAACTGCCCCTCACCCAGGCCTGCCGTTCTGCGCCCTAAGGAGAGAGAAGTGAGTCTCGGGACGGGGTGGGAGGTGTTCAGGGGCCGGGGCACCCAGGCGCCGGGTACTAACCATTCTCATCCCTACCTCTATCCCCAGCCCCACAGCCTCATACTCTTCCTGGGGCGCCCTGTGAGGTATCTACCCGGGATGTGGACATCCAGCTACAATTCGTGGTTTCATTTGACTTCCATGGAGTCCAAGCATGTGGTTTCCAGGTTTCTGCCAGGCGCCGGACACCCGCAGCCCCAGCCCAGATGCCACCCTGAGCTCTGGGAATGGCAAATGCTGGGCCCCTCGAAGGGGGAGGCTGTGTGGAGGCTGGCCCTCTCCCTGGGCCAGAGCAGCTGGAACTCCACAAGCGGGAGAGCCAGGCCCGGAGCCCCGGGAAAACTCGGTGGGAAAGACTTCAGGGCGCTGCCCTGAACAATGACGACGATCCCAGCTCTGAGGTCTGGCCACAGTCCTAAAACCAGCTTCCCAATCTCCGGCCCCCTCTCTTTCTCCCTCCTTCCTGAACACGAGAAGACGGCATCTCCCCCTGCTGGGGGGAGCGGGAAAGCCAGCCAGGAGGCACGGCCAATTCCATAGGCCCCACTCTGGAGGCCCCTCCTGGCCCAGCTCAGCGCAGATGGATACCTCCAGCCCCTGCCAGCCCTGGCACCAGTGGCTACAAGGGGGGACTCGGACCACCTGCATGTGGAAAGGCAACCCACTGACCTGATCTATCTGAGGCTGATTACCTCAGCCTTTCACTGTAAGGGAAGAAAATCCCAAAGCTGGAAGACGTCCTCCCCAAGCCACCAATGGATGCCTCTGGGAGGCTCCTGTTCCCTTGGCCAAGGGTTAGACCCCAGGCCCGGTGTGACTGGAAGTGGCTCCTGGACAGGTCAGCATAGTAGCTCAGAGGAAGGGAGCGGTTGGCATCCCTGCCGGGCACAACTGACCCTGCAAGGGGCAGTGTCCAGCTGAGATGGCCGAGGGGCTGATGAGAACCCACCAGGCCTCTCCTTCCCTTCGCCAGCCCCACCTCAGAGGAGGAAGCAGGAAGTCAGGGCAGCCCCCCTCCAGCACCAGAGTCACACAGACCTCTCCACGTCTAACACCTGGCACAGCCCCTGCAGGGGGAATGGAGGCAGGCAGAGGCGGGAGGACCTGAGGGGGAGCCACAGACCCTGCAGGAGGGGGCCCATCGGCAAAGCTGACCTGGTAAGTCTCAGGAGCCCAGCCTCCTCCAGCTGGCTCTCTACTCTCTCTGTGCCCGGGGTATGTCATGCTGGAAAGGGAAAGGGGAGGGGGCACAGCCTTGACCAAAGCCAAGCAATCCCGCCAGCTTCGGCTTCCCTGAATCGAATCTGCTGGAAGCCCTGGGGCCGTGGTCAGGGCCACAGGTCACCAGCAGGGGATCCTCACAACAGGAAGCATGAGATTCAGCACAGTGACAAGGACAGGGAACGAGAGGCGAAGGGGCCTGCATGCCTCCCTGCTGCTGCTTCAGTACCATCCTGCAAGTGGGTTCTGGTCTCTAGGTCCTAGTTTCCCTATCTCTAAAGAAGGAGAAATAGCTCCCACCCTTACAGAAAAAGATGTTAAGTGACCGGATGGCCTGTGTGTGGGGGGGTTAAAGTTGAGCAAGATGGACTCTGATCCTTTAAGTCTATGCAGAAGGAGACAGCCAAGGAGGGAAGGCAGTTATTACTCTGACCACGCTGACCCAAGACCCCCCTGTGACACTCCTGAGGGTCCAGCTCAGGCCATTTGGACACATCCTCACGGGCACGAACCCAGACCCACCCGTTCACAAAGCTGCCTGGAGTCCCACCCCTAGACTATTTCTGGAAGCACCAGGCAGGCTCCCACGAGCAGAGGGGAATAAGAAACCTCAGAGACCCCGAATTAGGACTCTCCCATGTCCAGGGCATGTCTACTGGACTCAAAGGAGAGAGCCGAGTCTCCTCCGCCAACATGTCACTGCACGCCCACCCCAATACCACATATCCCAACATAGGCTAAGGCTGAAAAGCTCCGGTAAGAATAAAGTATGGAACACAGAGAAACACTCCACCAGGAAGAGGACACCACCACAGAAAAGGAAGCTGGACGTTCAGCTATCACAGGGACCTTCTTCCAACATCATCCCCGCACCGCCTGCAGAGGTTCAGGGGCACACATTCCCCTCAGCCCTGCCTGTCTTGGTGAACAGGGCAGGGTGGCACGGAATTGAAGGCCCCCGAGTTGAGAGGGCAGGCCTGGGGACAGAGTTGAACCCATGCCCTCCCAGGGCCAGGCTGGACCGTCAACCCATCAGTCTCAGGTCTACCCCATGGTCAATCACTTTGGGTTTGCCTCTGTCCTTTTCTCACGATGCTTCTCCACTCCTCACCCCTTGTTCCCTTACGGCTCAGACCCTGAAGGGCAGCTGGCCTGGGCTGGATACCCATACAGCCCATTACATCCAAAGCCACCCCAGGTGCCTTCTCCAGCCTCCCAGCTCTTACCCGACTCGGTGGGAGAGTTCATGCCGGCTCTGGGCCCACAGGAAGCTGGCGTTGGGGGCTGGGACGGGAGGGGGTGGAGCTGCGGTGATGTCAAGAGAGACAGACGATAACAGACAGACGGACGGGACAGGAGCCCGGGGCCGCTGTGCCTCTAACGCCCATCCGAGGCCATCCTTCGGGGCGAGGCAGTCAGGCACTCAGAACGGCATCCCTGGGGAGAGATGGAGCAGGGTTAGAGGTCCCCAACTCTGGAATCTGAGAGTCGAAGGAGACCTTGGAGCTTGTCAGTTACACCTAGGGAAGAGAAGGAGGGCCACGGGCCCAGGGGCACAGAACTGGACCAGACCCTGGTTTCTCCTCTTTCTAACTGGTGAGGACGTCAGCCGTCAAGGGAAGGGAAATGGCTACAGTAGCCACAACAAAATTCTTTTTTAGGTGACAATGTCCACTGCCAGGTGGGGAGACCTCACAGACTCCCAAGGGTGCCTGACGTGGGAGATGGTGCTCACCAAAGGAGAAAGTGCAGGGAAAGTGCTTCTGAACTCTGTCCAGGGCAGCGGGGAGACGCAGGGCTGACCTGGAGCCCCTCGCAGAACTTAAGGGAGAGACTGGTATCCCAGCCCCAGCAGCCTGAGGTGGGACTCTCATCTTCTCCCTACTCCCTGATCCTTGTGCCACCCAACTCTGGAAACGTGATGTGCTTCTGTCTTGGTCTCCCCCATTCAACAACAGGTCAGAAAAAAGAGAGCAACAATTGCTTTTCCTCTACCCATTAACCATGCTGTTTCCAAGAATTTCGAAAGACAGAGACGTTCATCCCACATCCGGTGCCCTCTGGACTGGGGGTCCAAGGCCCAAGCCCAGGGCCTTGTGTGTGTTGTATAGGTTGTGCCCTGTGCAACGAGGTCTGAAATCCAGCCTTTGCTCTGCCTGCCAAGCTACACAGGCTAAATCCACCCAGAATAAGGGACACCATTTTCCAGTTTGTACAAAGGCACCAAAAGGCCCAGCAGTACACCTGCTGAGGCCAATACAGTAAGAGAGGATGTCCCCGTATTGCAGGACCATGAGTTTGCCAACCTGTCCCCACCTCTCCAGCTCCCCACCTCGCTCCAGCCCCACAGCTAGTCCTCAAGCCTCAGACACTACATACGCACCCACCTGGGCCCATCCCTAAACAGTCCACGATCCACCCTAGACACGATCTCATTCGTTTTCTTCCAGATGAAGGCAGGCCCTCCAACACCCAGTGAAATCGAGGTAGCTGGAAGCGATCGATGAGGCTGAGATTTAAACCCTAACTCTGCTCCCCAAACTAGGAAGAGACACTCAGCTCCAGCCCAGGACAGCCCACCTCCTGGCAGGATAAATTCTCGGTAAGCTCTGCATTCTCAAGGATCGCCAGGCGTGGGGTCCATTTGGAGCCGAGGAGCGCAGGAGTCAGCCACGGCAGGGACACAGGAACATACACACAGACATGCACACATGTGTGCCATGCACAGAGTAGGAAGACCTCAAGTCCTCCTAGGCCTGCTGCCCCCTAGGTTTGGACTCTGTAGCTGGAGAAAGGTGCACTCCGATGGGGAGGTGGGAGGAGGCAGAGAGAAGGGGCTGAATTGCTCCCAGAAGGTACAGGTGTGGGGCAAGGACAAAAGAGGCTGCGCAGGACTGGGGCCAAGCTCAGGAAGGCGGCAGGTGGGCTTGTTGGTGCCCTGGCAGGGCCCGCGTGGGCAGACAGCTCAGCCCATGCCCACCCCGGGGCTGGCGTCCAGCCCTGCTCACACCCTTTCCCATGGGCTGGGGAACACAGGTTCAGAAATTCCCACAATTCCCAGCAGCCCAAGTGCCCCAGCCCATCTCCTTAGTGAAAGGAACCTCCACAACAGGGCACTCAGGAGGGGCAGAGCCTCCGTGGTACACAATCTGCGTTAAGATCTGCCCTGAGCCCCCATCTTCCTCACCCCCTGGGGAGAAGAGGAAGGGAGGGGCTCCTAGAACTCCCAAGGGGCTCAGGACTCTGTTAGGCTGCACTCCTGCCCACCCTGCAGGATGCAGCAGGACCCCGGACCCCCATCCACCTGTGGAGAGTGTCTGCCAACACCCCCATCAAGCCTCCCTGGGAAACAAAGCAGCATTCACGGTCTAATCAGGACAGACAGGACAGGTGTAGATTTTGGACTAAGGAGGGCCATGCAAGGGGAAAGGGCAGGTTTACGGTTAAAACCTGAGCTGTTGGGTGCCTCCTCGGCCAGAGAAACTCACTGCTGACCATTTGTTGTAGGAAGGTCTTGGTGGGCAGTCAGGGACCAAGGGCTGTGTGGCTCCTGGCACTTTGCTGCCAAACCAGTGAGCAGCCTGGCTTCCGTGACATCCCAAGTAGGCAGACCCCAGGGCCCTGGCCCCATCCCCTGAGAACTCTCTTTTCCAGTCAGACCTCTGGCCCACTCCAGGATCCAAACCCACTTCCCACCTCCAGCCAGGACGGCAGGTAACCTGCTGCATCTCACCCTACAAGCTCATGGCTAAGCCGGGGGAGGAAAGGCAAAAACCCTAGGGGAATATCCTGCGCTCCATTCACGAGCAATAAAAGCTCTGGCAGAGGGTGGCAGGAGAAGGGCAGACAAGTGAGGGACATGAGGAGGACGCAACGCCTCAAAGGCCAGAAGTTCACAGTGCTGCCCTGCAGGTATCTTGTCCCTCAAGGAAGCTGAACTCCAGCACCACCAGGTAGCCGCTCTGCCA